GAAGATTAGCAAGATCCAGGGAAATATTGGTATTTTCCCAAACTCCCAACAAGTGGTTTTTAACATTATTCCAAGAAATAGAGGAAGAATTATAAACATGCGGAGTAACACAAATCCATTTAAAATCAGAGTGACATCTAGTGGTAAGATGAGTCTTAATATGTTGAATCTGATTACCAATATACAGTAAAGTCTCTTCTAGGACATTTAAACGAGCCTCAAGTTTTTTATCAATATGGTCTTGAATAATTAAGGCCTGGGTAACATTGTGAGACAATTCATTAACATGTGAGGCTGTGTGAACTTGTTGTATGAGAGCAGTAGTGGAGGCAACCACAGAGCCAATAATACCAATGAGTGCAGTAATGCCTAAGATAAGAGCAGCAACAAACCTTTTTGAGCGATGGAGACCTGTTTCAACAAGCTGAAGAGCATAGACCCCGGTGTCATCATACCATGGTTGGTCCAAGTGCATGGGAAGAACAACATAAGGAGGTTGATGCACAATAACAAATGTCATAGTAGACCATGAATTGACAGAGGTGATACAATTAGTGAGTATACAGCCGGAACAATTAATATGAAAAGCATTTTGATGATAAGTGATTGATAAATGTCCAGAGCCTTCAACAAGGAGGGCCGTGCGGGGGGGCCCACACAGGCCCGTATGATAGAGTCATTAATAGGGCGTCCAGGTCGTCGGAAATGGACAATTGAAGTGGCAACGAGAAGACGAAACAAGTCCGAGTAAGCACGAGTCCCATTGGAAGTATTGAAGAAATAGGTGGGAGTGATCCATCCGGCAGAAAACCATCGGGTGATGGGCTCTGGGGGAGGAATCAGACTGTCCGACCAGTTGTAGATGGAGGAGCCTTGCAGAAACGATCTCTAATATGTGGAGACATTGGAGTGGGAGGCGACCGCACCGGGTACAGAATGGTCATAAACAGAAACATTAGTTTGATAGGGCTGATATCGAATACCTGCAGAAGGAAGCATGCAATTATGCCAGAGGGGAAATCCACGACTGTGGTCAACAGACTTCCAGTGGTCATTTGGAGTGCGAAATGTACAAGCAGGGAGAGTGGAAGAGAGGGGAATACGCGTTAACTGTTCATCAGCGGTCTGAGGGCCCAGGAGATTCAGGGACAACACCCAGAGGTCACGTCTTGGCGTGGGGGAAGAAAGCTTTGGGGAATCTGTTAACAAAAACTTATAATTAATAGGTAGACATCCACGCAAATGAGTCTTCATATATTCAGGATTCGATGTAAAGCACATGGGGGAGGTCCCTACACGTCCGTGAAAGGAAAAGTTATTAGTTCTTTTAAACAAAATAAAGGAGTCCGAATCACCACCTAACAATTCAGAAAAATTAGTAAAAACACGAGGTGAGAGAAATCCCCAAGGAGTGGGGTGCAACAGAGGAGAGTCAGGGATGTAGGCCCAATAAGAAGTTGCAGGTGCAGAGCTAGAGGCTGTGGGGGGGGGGGCGGCAGCGGGGGAACAGGTGAGGAATGAATAGGCATTACTTGGCAGGAAATAAGAGCCAACATAGCTAAAACATGGTTTCCGGAGTAACAGCAGTATTCTGACTGTTGATGAGATGACGAGCTTGGTGTGTGAGCCTTTTGAGTTGGCCCCAAGACGGGTAGCTGCAGTGCTGAGTAGCAGATGACCAAGACTTGCGGTCATGCAGATGCAGATGATACAGGGATGATGTCAAATTGTGGGTAGGAGAGTGAGGACGTCGTCCAGAAGGAGAATTACGGAGATGAGGTGGGAGTCTAGACCTTCTGTTTCCTGGTTTATTCTGCAGAGGCGGGGAGGCCATCGGTCGAGTTTTTCTGGACATGATGGCAAATCACTCTGTCAGGGAGCCAAATAAGAGTGTTTGAGTCCTGTGGAAAAACACAAGCATACCCGCTCCCACAGGTTAGAAGCACATCAGGTCCCTTCCAGGTACCTGTGAGGAGATCCTTCCACATGACATGTGGTTTAGGAGTCGGATGTTCTGGCTCCCAATGTTTATTAATTGGTGACACATCACGAGAATCACAATTCAGATAATTAATTACAAACATAGCATGGGTCAGAATATGATGAGCTGAACTGTGTTTAAATTCAGACTGTTGCAGCTTAGTTATTTGAGACTTTAAAGTCTGGTGGGCTCTTTCCACAATTGCTTGCCCCTGTGGATTATAGGGGATTCCTGTGGAATGAGCAATTTGAAATGAAGCACATAATTTCTTGAAGGCAGAAGATGTATACACTGGAGCATTGTCAGTTTTAATTGCACGGGGCTTGCCTGCATAGGCAAAGCAGAAATGCTGAGGGACATCCTTAAAAGCCTCTCCCGTCCGGGCAGTGGCCATAATAACATGGGAAAATGTGTCCATGCAGACATGAACAAAACTGAATCTACCAAAACTAGTAACATGCGTAACATCCATCTGCCAGAGGTCGTTTGGCCTAAGACCTTGTGGGTTTACCCCCATTGGAAGAGTATGGTGAGTAGTGGGGCAAACAGAAATTATGAACAATCTCTCGTGCTGCTTCTCGGGTTAGTTGGAACTGTTTCCGCAGTGAAGCGGCATTCTAATGGTGGAGGGCATGATCATTAATTGCCTCCTGCACTGAGAAAGCAGCCTTTCTAGTCAGCAGATCCTGCTGAGACCCTCAGCAGGAGATACTTCCACGACCTAAGGTGTCTGAGTCTTCCTCACTCCTACCTCGCTCCACTTCCCCTCAGCCCTTTGAGAGAAAACTTTCACCGACTCCATCCTCTCCTTTCTGAGATCCCTGACACGACTTCTAGCTGGAGCGGGTCTCCAGCACCCTCCAAAAGGCTCTCCTCTCCTGACCCTTTAAAAGTATGAGGTAATCCTGTCTCTTATCTGCTGCAAACCCCACAAAGACTCCCCATTTCAGTCAAAGTAAAAGGCTCTCCACCAGCAGGCCCCATTAAGCTCTCTGACCTCATCTCCATTTTTCTCACTTACTTGGCTCCAGCCTCCTGCTCCTCAAAACCTGCCAGATACACCCCACATCAGAGTGTGTGCACTTTCTCTGTGCAGGCAGCCAGCCACCTGGCTTATCTTCAAGTCTTTCCTCAAAAGCTGCTTTGGAGGCAAGGTCTTCCCTGACTACTAGTTTTAAAATTGTAAAGCTGCTCTCCCTTCCCAACCCCTCTCTACTCCCAGCATTCTAGATCCTTTTTACACTGTCTGTCCACACTTTTGCTTTTCCCATGGCACTTATAACACACTATCCTCATTAGTAGTGAATTCGTTGCTATCATCTGTCTCTCCCCTACCAGAATGCAAACTTCACCAAAGCATGCTCGCATGCTCGCATGCTCTTTCTTTCTTTCTTTCTTTCTTTCTTTCTTTCTTTCTTTCTTTCTTTCTTTCTTTCTTTCTTTCTTTCTTTCTTCTTTCTTTCTTTCTTCTTTCTTTCTTTCTTCTTTCTTTCTTTCTTTCTTTCTTTCTTTCTTTCTTTCTTTCTTCTTTCTTTCTTCTTCTCTTCTTTCTTTCTTTCTTTCTTTCTTTCTTTCTTTCTTTCTTTCTTTCTTTCTTTCTTTCTTTCTTTCTTTCTTTCTTTCTTTCTTTCTTTCTTTCTTTGTTTTTCTCACTGGTGATAATCCGGCTGCCTAGGAAAATAACCAGCACGTAGTATGGTCACCTGAGGACGTGGATGCTTTCACACTCAGACATCCCCACAGCACGGGGAGCCCCTGGTGATGCTCCTGTGGACACAGGAATAAGGATTGACAAACAGGCTCACTCACATTTGCACACACATACGCACACACAGAGGCCATATGTGCACATGAACGTGCATGCAGAAATCATATTTTAAATGCTTATTTTTTATCATGACCTCGAGGGACCATTTTTCCCCTGGAATTCTGTTACAAAAATTTTTACACCTACGGAATATTTGAAGGCATCATACAGGGAACATCCACCACCTAAACTGTACAGGAAGTATTTTGCTTTATTTGATTGACTGCACATCTGTCCATCAATATAGCTGTTTACATAGCCCTCAATACATCGATGCATTTCAAGGTAAAGTGCGGCCATTGGTGCACCTCACCCAGAAACACTTCAGCATTAATGAAAGTTCAACATGTCTACTTTTCCAATAAAATTTACAAACAGAGAAATGCACAGATCTTAAGTGTATATTTGTTGAGCTTTGACAAATGAGCTTTTGGACTGTGTAATTCAAAGCCCTAGCAAGAGAGAGAACATTACTTTCAGCCCCCAAATTTCTGTCATGTCATTTCTTAGTCAATCTCCTAGCAGAGGCAACCATGGCTTGGCTCTGATTTTTTCACTATAGATTAGTTTCACTATAGATTAGTTTTCTAGAATACATAGATTGTTTCAATATGTACAATACACATGTTTGTCTATCCAGTGCTTTCTATACACACACAGATGCACATGTGATGTCTTCATGGAGAGTAGTAAGTTCTCTGGACTGACAGAAAGGCCAAGGTATTTTCAGTCTTGGCCTGTGATCTATTCTCTCCTCTTCTTCAATCACTTTGTCCCTGAGAGACCAAGACAGCTGGACTTCAGAAACAGAAATTCAGGCTCTGTGTGTTTTGTGTGCTCTTGGGTTACCCTCCACCCCCTCCTTATCCACACCGACTATAGAGGCTTCTCATCAGCCTCATCCCTACTCCCACTCACTTCCCACAATAGAGCTTCATCCTACTTCTCTGCAAGTGTGCAATGGGGTGTCACAATCTTAACCCAGGCCATGCCCAAGTAGGTAAAATTTCACGTGGGTAGAAGAAACTAGACAAGCTGAGGTGGAGCATCTCCTTGCGATCTTGTGGGAGAGTGGGGAGAGTAGGAGTTGCAGGGTGGAGAGTAGGCAGGGCCTGAGAAGAAACATGAAGAGGGGAATGATTGCAGGCCCTGAGCAATCATGGCTGAACAGCCACACAGCACTTAGCTGGAGTGACCAGTACCCTGGGCATGATGCTTTTGCCCTCTAAGAAGGACTTCAAGACCTTCCTGGAGGTCTTCACTATTTTTCAATGGGTCCTCAGTATCTTCTCTATTGGTGAGTCTTCAGCCTCTTGGAGGTTGACCAGCTGCTCTGGTTTGCTTGGGACTTGGGCATATTACAGTTCAGCAGGACTTTTGATGTTAAAACTGGTTGTACCAGGCAAATCAGGATTGTTGGTTGCTAACCTGACACTCCTGCTCATGGAGCATGTGGGCCCTTGGAGTGTACATGTTGGGATGTGTACACACTTAGAGGTATGTGCACCTGTGTGGGTGGGCATGTGTGTGAGCATCTACACTGGGGGGTTGGGGCATGTTTTGGGAAGAAGGGGCACAATTCCATGGACATTAACCAATGAAAAGAACTTAGTTGCAATCTTGGGCTTTTGAGCAAATCATCCTTGGGAGACAGTTTTCCTGGTGGCAGAGGGAGGGATGAAAATCTCATGTCCAGAGGAATTCATCTGGTTCTCCACCATATGGGAAGTGGGCCTGGCAAAAAAGTCTCATCTGTCAAGTGATTTGGGTCAGTCCTGGCAAGAGCTTATGGTATCTCTGGGAAGGAAAGATTCAGCTATTCCCTGGGAGCTTAGGACTTGCAAGTGAGTAGAGAGAGTGGCATAGAGGGCAGGGAGTATGGGGGTTGGGGTGGTGATGAGAGTGTTGCCTGGAGTGGGTGCCAGAATCCCCCATGTTGAAAGGAAAAGCATTAGCTTAGGAATGACAGGCATTCACAGCTGGAAGAGACCAGGTAAGAGGATTTCTCCTAGGGCCTTGGTGCCAATGTTCTTGGAACCCAGAGTCAGTCAGTGGTCTCAAGGCATCTGCATTTCCTTCTTGTAGATTCTGCTCTGGCCTAGAAGCTTCAGGCCTTCCCCTCATCCTGGCCTTGTCAGGGATTGTTCACTCTGCTCTAAAAACTCTTTCTTCTTCCCTTATTTCTTACCATCCTTGAAGAGTCAATCCAAATGTGGGTTCTCTTCTATTGTCTTTCTTGAGTCCTTGTTCTATCCTGAGAGACTTGGCTTATTACCACTCTCTTCCTCCTTCCTCTCCTCATTGTACTGTGTGTGTCTGTGTGTGTGTGAGAGAGAGAGGGTGGGGGAGACACAGCGAGAGAGAGAGCAAGAGAGAGAGAGCACACAGAGTCACCCATGCCCCGGAGCTGACACTGCACTGAGAGCATAGTGTGAGCATTTATTGAAGGCCACCCTAGGCCAGGCTCAGGTAAGGGTTGCAACCTCCATAGAGGTACCTTTCCTTCCTCAGTCCAGTCGAGGGCTTAATCTCCTTAGACGTGACCACTTGTTGGAGACCCCTAGGGCCTGTAGTGCTGAGACAAGGAAAGCATCAAGGTCATGGCTAAAAAACTGATGAGGCCAGGTGGGAGGACTGGCCTGTGTGCAGATTGGGGTGTTCTTTCCTGTGTCTGAGAAGCTATGTCTAGGGGAAAAACTAGATTAGAAAAAAACCAGAATGACCTGATGGCTCAGAACCGTGGTGGTGAGTGTGTGCCCAGAGAAGGCCAAATGCTAAGAGAATACTTCGTTGTCTAGTCACTAACATTGGGGGAAGGGGGTTGCTGCTTGTATCAATAAAAACAAGTTGCACCGGGCACTCGGGATGCTTCAGCACAAAAGAGAGGATTTGCGTCCCCTGGCTCCCTCTTAAACTCTGTTTTGTGTCTATCATTTCTTGGTAATTTCTACAACTCAGTCAGAGTCCTCTTTGGAGCTGGACACTGGCAACTACTAACACTTTTTTGTGCATCTATAGCCATAAATGATAGTTATGGATATATAAATATGTACCTAGCCACATGCAGGCATTCATACATACAGGTGCAAACACACACACACACACACACACATACATACACAGAGCCAAGAGGTGGTAAAATACGGGTGTTAAAACATATAATCTCTTGAGTCAGATGGCCTGTATTCAAATGCCAGCTCTACCACTTACTCTCTGTACATGTTTGGCAAGTTTTTTTATTCTTTTTGAGTCTTGTTTTCTTCATCTGTAAAATGCGCACAAACAATATATTAAGTGGGATGGCCTAGGTGCCATGGGGAGAGAGAGGAGGCAAGGGTGAAGCTCAGGTCCCCAGTGTGAGCTGTGGGGTGGGATGAGGGGAACGAAGCAGGGGGTAGAGGGCAGCAGCAGGGCTCTAGGCCTGGAGCCCAGAAGATATGGGTTCCAGTGCTCATCCTTCCTTCATGAGCTCTCATGGGGTGAGGTGGGGCAAATGACACCTCGGCATCTTCCCACTCTTGACCAGAAGAATCTAAGAGTAGGATAGTGTATATTTGGATCTGAAAGGCCTTGAGGGAAAACACTCACAGTAAGTCTACGAAGAAGACAGGGCAGATACTGGTAGTTTAATTCTCATCTGGCAGATGAGATACTGAAGCTCACTGACTATGCTTTTAGTAAGTGGCACAGCATTTCACAGCAGGCTGCTGCATCTGAGGCCACACTGCCTCACAAGGTATCTCCAACATTGTCTGGGTTCAAACTTAGCGTAAGGGAAACAGGGAGGTCTCTTTGGGATTAAGCCCATGCTTCCTTTATTTCTTGAAAAAGTCAGACCGTTTTATAAAGAGTTTATCAAAAGCCTAAAACTGCTCACCTTCATTTGACCCTTACACCTGTTCCACAGAGGCAGCCATTTTCAACTTCAGTTAGCTCACGCTTCTGGTGTTTACCTCTGTATGTTTAAATTTTACTATTTCATTTTTGAAATATTGCTATTTTCTGATCTAATAACTTTAGATATTGTCACTGACTTCTTAATATGGAAGATGAGAATTTGGCTCTAAAAACTGTCGTTAGAGCTGCCCCCAACTGGCAGGTTTTGGTTAAATGCCTGACTGTGACTAGGAAATATTATCCACAGTTGAGCTATTTAGTGTATTAAGATTATATTTCCTTTCTTGTGCAACTTCTGGTTTTCCCTGAAATTCATAATTGCCTCATGTCAAATTTTTAATTTTTTTTTTTTTTTATAGAGGCATGTTTTATTTATTTATTTATTTTATTTGTTTGTTTGTTTGTTTTTGTTTATACATGCACTGGGTACAGTCAGAAGCGTGGGAGGGTGAGAGAATTCACCAGAGCCAGAGTGGGGAGCAGAGCAGGCAGAAGGACTGAAGTACACTGCTGAGGGGAGCAGCGGGCGGCAGGAGAGGTCTGCGCACCATGTGGGATCCTCCTCCGGTGGCCGGGGAGCAGCCGGGGATCGAACCGGCGCCGCAGAGGCCGCGGGCAGCTTCGCAACCCAGCGCTCAACCGCTGCGCCACCGGGGAGGCCCAAATTTTTAATTTTTAATTTTTAAATTTTTTTATTTATTTTTATTTTTTACGTCATTGTTCATTTTTAAACAGTATTTGTTTCCCCCCCACCCTCTCAGGTGTAGTCCCCATAGTTTCCTTCACCAATGCACCTGTGCACCATCACCTCAGTCCCCTGTGCTCCACCCTCCCTCCCTCTGATCCCTCTTCCTCCTCCTCCCCTGCAGTATGTCTCTGATTTATAATTGTCTGTTTTTGCTTTGTTGTGTTTTGTACTGTTATTATTTTTTTACACTGATGTCTTATTTGGTCCCTCTATATTCTTGCTGTAAGTGAAACCATCCGATATTTTTCTTTTTCCTTCTGGCTTATTTCACTGAGCATAATTCCTTCTAGCTCCATCCACGTTGCTGTGATTGGCATGAGTTTATCTTTTTTGATTGCTGAATAATATTCCTTTGTGTATATAGGCCACATCTTCTGGATCCAGTCATCAATTTTTGGGCATTTGGGTTGTTTCCAGGTTTTACCTATATTGTAAATAGTGCTGCAATAAATATAGGGGTACAGGTGTTCTTTTGAATCAATGTTTTTGTGTCCTTTGGGTAGATCCCTAGGAGTAGAATTGCTGGGTCATATGGTAGCTCCATTTTTAGTAGACTGAGGAACCTCCAGACAGCTTTTTATAGTGACTGGACCAGTTCGCACTCCCAGCAGCAATGTAGGAGAGTTCCTTTTTCACCACATCCTCACCATTTGTTGTTGCTAGTTTTTTTTTGATATTTGCCATTCATTCTTAATGGTGTAAGGTGGTATCTCAATGTGGTTTCGATATGCATTCCCCTGATTATCAGGGATGTTGAACATTTTTTCATATGCCTGTTGGCCATTTGCATTTCCTCTTTGGAGAAATGTCTTTTAAGTTCCTCTGCCCATTTCTTCACTAGATTGTTTACTTTGTTTTTGTTGAGTCGTGTGAGTTCTTTGATTATCTTTGTGATCAGTCTCTTATCAGTTGACTGCAGTGCAAAAATTTTCTCCCAATTAGTGGGGTGTCTCTTTGTTTTGGTTAGTGTCTCTTTTGCTGTACAGAAGATTTTCAGTTTGATGTAATCCCAGGTGTTTATCTTTTCCTGGACTTTCTTTGCTTTGGGTGATGAGCCTTTAAAGATGTTACTGAAATGTATGTCTTGCATTTCAAATTTCTTTAGTTATCTATCATGTATCTATTAATGATCACTAATTCATCCCCAAACACTGCACAGATGTGTGATACTCTCTCATGAGGGGCAAACACATCAGAAATTGGTAAATCTCCTTACCCCTGCCCCCCAAAAAACATTTTTTATTTCCTTGACATCACCACTGGACCCCAGAATCCTCATGTTCTAATCTGGTCTCCAGCTCAGCTGTTGCTTCCAGGCCCTAGTGGAGCCTCGAGTGCATAATTTAAGAAGCTGCCAGCTCTCAGGGTTGCGTATGCGTTGGGTCAGTACTTGCCCAACCCCTGAGAGGGTCTCTTGAAATTTTGTGCCCTGTGCCTTGCTTGCCTTACCCTCCCACTGGCCCTAGTCACTTCCTGCCTTCAGTGAATCCCCCCCCCTTTTTTTTTTGCCTTGCCTTTCTCTGTCATGGTTTACTCCCTCTTGCTGATGGAACACATTCCTCCAGTACTTTCCTGAGAAGGGTGCATGGAAGATGAACTATCTGAGAATGCATATCTGAGATTGTCTTTATTCCACTTCCACACTTGATTAATCATTTGGCTCCATATAAAGTGTCTTAGCTGTGTCTAGTGTACTTGAGTCTAGAGTCTGGTTCAGTTTTTCAGGGAGTAATTTCCCCATTATCTAGGTCGGGAAGGGAAACTACTTCTTTGATAAACTTTCCATCAAGTCCTGTGCCTCATCCTTGCTTTATGTGATACCTGGCAATTCCACATTCTGAGTCTTCCCTAGCTTCTCCGCTGCAAACAGGCATGCGTCCTGCAGGCATTCCCTTTTCGAGCAACTAGGTTTCATCTTTCTTTGTTTCAATTCAGTCACTCCCTCCTCCATCCACTTTCTGCTGTCTCTCATCCACCATTGGCGTCTAATTCTCTTCCTTCTTGTCTCTTTCTGTTCCTTCTCCTTAATTCTCTTTGCAAACATTCTTACGGTAATTTTCATGAGGTGTCAGCAAGATGTTAAGGTAAAAATTTGTGCTCAATCTGCTATGTTCAATTAGAAGTGTTTCTGTCTTTTCTAACCTTTATTTTGACCCACTTTCAATCACAGACTTATTCACAATTGTTTTAAAAACAGTCCAGTAATAATTTTAAGTGTGTGTGGCTCCCTGTGACTCATCTCCATTAAGTCTGTTCTAACTACTCTAACCTACAGCTCCTATACTGTGGGGGCTTAACAGCCCCTGCCTTGTTCTTTCTCAGCCTACATTTTCCTTTATTTCTTGCCTGTCACCTTGTGTGTTTCCCACGAGGCCAAGATGTCTTCTCTTTCTCTGATGTTCCTTCCACAGATGTCCCCTTACATTTTGTGTTCTGCAGTTTGATCATCTTCCCCACCTCCTGGTCCTACACTTCTTGCCTTTGATGAATCACCACAAAGACATGTAGGGGGAAATGTGAGTTGGAGGAAAACTGCTTTTGGTTGTCTTCCTGGTCCCCCACCCCTGGTGTTTCCCATCACTGACTCTGCCATTGAACTCAGCCCAGAGCAGGGCCTGGCTTCCTGTGTGGAGTTGGCTGGGGAGCCAAACACCTTGCCTGAAATAGGTTCTCAAGGCCAGAGTGGAGGGGAGGGGCTGGGGACATGGGCACGAGGGCTATGTGCTAAGGCAGAGAGATTGTTGAGTGAGTTTGGGTGAGTGTATGTGTGTGTGTGTGTATGTGTGTGTGTGTGTGTGTGAGAGAGAGAGAGAGAGAGAGAGAGAGAGAGAGAGAGATTGAGAGAGAGAGAGAGAGAGTGTGTGCATGCATGTGTGATCTTGGGTGGGCAGAAGTCTGGAGGAGGGTTGGTGTGGGGACTGTTCACAATTCATGAACTCCAGGCTGTGCTTCCTCCAGCAGCTCTAGTGATCATCGTCAACCTCTACCTGGTGGTGTTCACATCATACTTGCCTGTCACTGTGCTCCTTCTCAACTGGCTGGCTTTTGACTGGAAGACCCCTGAGCAAGGTAAATGTCCTGCTGGGAGTGGGTTACCACATGCTACATGCCTTTTCTTTTTCTTATAATCCCAAGGGGCTCTGGTTCAGGAATTCCAAGGTAGCCCTTTAGTCTGTCCCTCCCTGGGCTAGACAAGCTGAGAAGAGGGGTGTCTTTTCAAAGTGCTAGAAAGACCCAGATCAGAGCTGGAGTGGGTTAGGGGAGAGACAGTGAGGCAGAAATCTAGGCTTGTTGTAAATTGGCTCTGTCATTCTGTGGTCCATCCTGATTATTACTTAAGAGGCTAGGAAAAAGCAGGGGGTGAGACTACCCTGTGAGAGGCCAAGAGGACTCTAAAGAAGACAACACGGGTGGGCAGTTTGGCTACATTGGCACTGTTTTCAGGCGGTCGTCGGCTTCCCTGTATGAGGCGGTGGTGCCTGTGCAAACAGCTCAGCGACTACTTCCCTATCAAGGTGAGTAGCTTTAGATTCTCCATGGCCCCAGGCCCAACCCCAACTCCAGGGCCACTACTTGTGTCAAGGCGGGGCTGAAGGTGCTATTCTCCTGGAGGCCTGCGTGATGGAGGCTCCCCAAAACTCTGCGTCACCCACCGCACAGGGTCAGACATGATGGCTTTTCCTTCCAAGGCCTCTGGCTGAAGAGGCATTCCCTCAGCTGGTCACACTCATCCTAACTCCACATTCCTCCACAGCTTTTGAAGACTCATGACATCTCTCCCAACCACAACTACATCCTTGTCTGCCACCCTCATGGGCTCATGTCCCATGGATGCTTTAGCAACTTTTCCACAGAGTCCACAGGATTTGCCAAGCTCTTTCCTGGCATTACCCCTTATGTGCTCACACTGGGAGCCTTTTTCTGGGTGCCTTTGCTGAGAGACTATATTCTGTCTGTAGGTAAGTTGGTTCCTAGGCTATAAAGCCAAATTAAAAATGGTGTTCCGAGGGAGAAGTTTTGGGGGAATGGGTGAAAGTAAGTCTAACTCCATGATCCTCTCTGCTCTGATGAAGCTACCTTAGGCTCACCTTCTTTTGAGGAGGCAAGGAGGAAAGTTCAAAGGAGGTTTGGGGAGTGGCCATGACCTTTTCGCTTTTTGTGCCCCCCAGGCATCTGCTCCGTGAGCAATTCCTCCATCGACTTCCTGCTCACCCGCAGAGGCACAGGCAACATGCTGGTGGTGGTGGCTGGTGGCCTTCATGAGTGCAAGTACAGCCTCCCAGAGTCCACCACCCTGTTCTTGAAGAACCGGAAAGGCTTTATACGGAAGGCCCTTCAGCATGGGTAAGGGCAGTTCTGGTCTAGACTAGGGAGAGAGGTTCCAAAAACCCAGAAGAGGAGGGGGAAGGGGTTCAAGGAAATACTACCTAAAAAGGGGAGGAAAGCCACTTCTGTGTCATAGTAGAACCTGGTCCAAGTCCTGGAGGCTTTTCTGGTCGTGAGGAAAGACTAGAGGGCCAGCCCTGAGCCTGGTTCCCTGCAGAGAGCCTCTCATGTGGGCCCATCCCTCTAGAAAAGATGACTTGGCTGCCACTCTATCTCAGAAAGAGCCCAAGTTACAATGTGAATTCAAGGGAAGAAGACTCAATGAAGTGACCCCTCTCTCTTCATTTTCCAGTGTCAGACCCGTGGGTTCACAGGAAGGCCCTGAATTTCCCTCTTCTATTGTAGCTGGCTGCTACTTTGCCCCAGGCAAAGTAGATGTGGGGGTAGACCATGAGGTCTTCATACTCGGCCTGGACCTAGGCCCAGCTAAGTGAGGGGCTGAAGAGTCTAAGCGGACCCAGGGGTCACTGATGGTCAGCATGCTTGGCTTTCAGCAGGGTCCCTGCCCTTCTGGCCATCCAAAAACATGTCTCTCCTCCGCAGGATGTCTCTGATCCCCACCTATTCCTTTGGGGAGACAGACCTCTATGATCAGCACATTTTCACTCCTGGGAGCTTCAACTGGTTCCAGAAGTGGTTCCAGAGTTGGACACACGTCTACCCTTGTGCTTTCTATGGGCATGGCTTCACTGAGAACTCCTGGGGCTTTCTGCCCTATGCAAAGCCCGTCACCACCGTTGGTGAGTAGTCCCTCTGCTGGCCGCATCATCCAAGGATGTGCGATTCAGTCCTGAGGCTGAACCTCAGCTCTGGTCATGTCCAAAAGCAGGGAGTCTGGCCAGGATGAGTGGGAGGTGATGTCAGGGTGCGGAGAGCCCAGGTTTGAAGGCTAAGGCCCATTTTGAAGTGTGAGCTGTTATGATAATTTCTCCTTTTCCTTCTCTGTCTCTGGCAGTCGGGAAGCCGCTATCAATGCCCAAGATTGAGAACCCAAGCCAGGAGATAGTGGCTAAATACCACGCAGTGTATATTGATGCCTTATGCAAACTGTTCGACCAACATAAGACCAAGTTTGGCATCCCAGAGACCAAGGAACTTGTGATACGTTGAAAGACATCACTAGCCTCTCCGTCTGGCTGGAAATTGTGGAACCAGTGAAACAAAAGTCACCTATGGGGGCATCCTGCTCTTGATTTGGTCAATCATCAGTGTGGGGAGGGACTGTCCATTTGGTTGTTTTCTGGACCCCACTTCCCTTTCATCTCTCTCCTCCCAGCTCTTCTCTGCTTCTTCCCTGGGGTTATGACAGAGATAGCCCCAAGAGGCAGGGAAGGCCCTAGGGGAGAGGTACCCTGAAGACTCCTAACATGTGCCCACTTAGTGCCAGCATTGAGGAAAACGATGGACAGAATAAAAAGCTATCTTCTGATACTGCTTATGTCCTAGCTAGTTTGTTTTGAGGGCCTAGGATGCCTGTACACATCTTTCTCTAGCTTTCAAGCAGAATCATCTTTTGGCATGGAGACTCCCACAGAACTGGGTGCCTTGTGATCTGGTGGGCTTTGAGTTCAGACTACCACCTACAAGCCATGTGACTTGTGGTCACCTCTGAGCTTGTTTCCTCATCCATACCATGGGACCAGTAGTCCCTCCCCCTGCTTACTTCAAAGACTGTTGGGAAGATCAAATGCACTTGAACTTTGTAAAGTGGAGTCCACAAAATTATTCTCCTCCATGTTGTGTATTTCCCGTCCCTGGGCAAACAGTGCTATTATTTTCATGGCATCTCAATGTTTAAAAGAAAGTTTACATTGTAGGAGCTTGTCCTTTGAAACTTTAAGTAATTGATACCCCCTTCTACCCACTGGTCCACACTGTTTCTGCCTCAAGATGCTCTAATAGGATGGGCCAGGCTCTGTCTCTCCCCCACCAAAATATCTTTCCTTGCCTGGCTCTCTAGCTTGCCCTTCCAGCCTCTGAAGGGAAGCGAGTGGCCTGGCTTCTGGCAGCCATAGAGAACTCTCCCTGTGGACAGTGAGTCTCTCAGACTGGGCCCATGGTTGTAGGCAATGGTTACACCAAGTTTACATCTTGGCTCACAGCTCCCTTGTTCCATAGCTCTTGGGTGGATGCCATTTGATCTCAATGTTTTACCTGCATCAACTTTTGTCACTTTGGTCTAGAACATCTGGTGTCTTCATCACAGTATGATAGGCTGCCTCTGCCCTGGGTGCCTGCCTCATGTGATGATCTGTGCACAGTGGGGCAGAGATGCTTCACTTTTCTGCTGTGTCCATTACATCCTTTTACCACAGCTGACATTTCCCCTTGAACTCCCAAAAGGTATTTTAAAACATCTCCTGACTTTCCTTTGGTTTTCTTTAAAATATGTACCTATCACCTAACTAGGGTATCCAGATGACCGAGCTGGGCTCCAACACCCTGCCTGTGCACACTAGACATTGCTTTGTCAAAGGCAAGTGCGCCCACTTTCTTCACTTATGCAGTGGGTACAAAGGCTGCTGGGGCAGTGAGAAGTGTCTCGAATTCTCTGGGACTAGGCGACCCTGGACTGCTATATTTTGGCCTTCACAGAACTCCTGCATGCAAAGAGCTTGGGGCCCAGCAGTGAGGCAGCAAGGTAGAGCAGAAAAAGTGCCCCACTTTGGGAGTCAGACGGGACTGGCACCTCCTAGCTGGCCAAACTTAAACTCTGAGCATTGGTCTCCTTGTCTGCAAAATGTAATGGTCCCTCACTGGGGAACTAGAGGCTGGATCCACCCAAGCTGTTTTCTACCCAGGCCTGAAATACCTGTCATAGATGCCACAGTCTCAGGCTGATGGTGAGCCCAAGCTTGTGCCTCTACCTCAGGATAATGTTCCTTTCTGCAGTTCCCTGAGAGTATACTGGACACGTGGTGGCAGGTAAAGCTCTAAGGGGGTGGGGATGGGGATGCATGGGCTGGGGCAAAGAGAGGATGTGAGATGCTCTGACAGGAAATTCAGACTACCTTCCTTCATTGCCCCCTCTGTCATGGTGCCTTGCTCCTTTCCCTGGCACACATGTGACATTGCCGGCAAAAAAACACCTAGCATGTAGGAAGTGCTCCAACCAAGTTCCAGAATAGGGGGTGGAGGGAAAGCTTTATTTGCAAAGAATAAACCGTTAATTTATACAAACTTACATCCCAGTTTATATACATTATGTATAGTTTATATACACAGTATCTCACACTGGATGCTGACCCCCAAAGCAGCACTGGGCCTGCTCCAGGCCATTCTCACAACAAAGTTCACCCCCCATCCCAGCCAGAAGCTTTTGGAATAAAGGACTGACACACCCCAACTCCTCTTAGAGAGAGAGCCCTGAAATGGATTAAAGGAAAAATCAATTTTCTTTGTGCTCCCATGGCCTAGGGAAGCCTCCAGGCAGGGTTGGGGCCCATCAGCATGAGGGTGGCCTCAGGACATCCTTGGTAAGGGGCCAGTCAAGGCAGGAGTTGGGCGAATACTTGGGGGGAGGAAGGGTTCAGAGGAAGGCTGCAGCTACTTTCTCCCTGCCCCACCAGGCTCCTGAGAGGGGCCAAACACTTCCAGCCTAGAGTCTGTGGGTGGAAGGAAGAAGGGGTCTTGTGGGACTGGGTCTACCCTGCCCCCTCATCTCTTGGAATCTGGAGGTTGGGGCTTGTTCACCACCCTGGGCAGGTCACGCTCCCCCTCTGGGCCTCTGTTTCCACATGAGTAGCCTGGGGCAGGATGGAGGCTGATTCCTGCTGCTGCCTTTCTAGCTCTCCATTTCCCTGCATCGCTTCCATCCACCAGAAGTTACATATTCATATGGGCTCACGCGTGGGCCAGTCATTGTTCACCTCCAGATTCCAACCACTTTCCTGCTCAGCAAAAGAAATTTGGCTCCGGGAGGTTGAAGGGGTAAATAAGAGAAAGACTACGTTTTCCCAAGGCACCTGTAGCTGAGCATGCCCCAACAGCTGCCTTTTGGATCAGCTTTGTCAGCTGAAGCCCTAGTGGCAAAGGCCTCTGCCAGGCAATTCTTCAAACCTGTTGCCTGCTTGCTTGCAAATGTCCCCATCCCCTTCTCCATGCTAGTGTCAGCCCACTGATGAGCTTACATTGGCACCAGTCCATGCTGCAAATCTATTTCCACATTCTTTGAGAAGTAAATTGCTTCACCACCTTGCCAGTAACTGCTGTGGCAGGGACCCCCGCTACCTGTTGCTTCCCTCACCTCCCACATCCCTGGAGGATTCTTCCTGAGGGTGCATGATAAATAAAGGGTCCCACGAGAATCCTGTTTCTCTGTAATCCCCTCCACATCTACAGAACAGGACAGATGTCCGGATGTCCTGTAGGGGCACATTTAGGAAGCCGTTTCCTACCCCCGCCTTATACCCTTTTGGCTTTAGAATCAGGCCTCTTTTGGGTCTTCCTCCATCCCTGAGAGATCTTGGCAGAGCGCTCCCTGTGGAATGGTAGGAAGAGATGAGGAGTCACTCGGTAGCTGTGGGAAGCAGCCAGCTCCTCTGGTGTGGGGGCTAAGGTGAGGACTAGCTTGTTAACAAGGTGGGTGAGAGAACAAAAAGGCTCTGGATTCTGTGGACACTGGAGGTCTGCTGCTTGGATGTAGTACCAAGAGGATTCCTTTGAACACAAGAGCTCTAAGGCTGATGGCTGTTTCACAAAAACCAGCCTACCCTTTTGGCCGCAGAGCCCCCTGCAGCCGAAAGAACACATGCAGCCAACAAGGAACGAAAATGAGCATCTTTGGATTTCTCCTTAGGACCCTCGTGGATTGTGGGCCCTTATTACTACCTTAAATGGCTCTCTCTGGACCCCCGATTCAACCCAATTCTACAGCATGACAGAATAGCTTTGGAGTCAGACCTGGCAGAAGCCCTGACCATGATTTCAGTGGGGTGAGATCTTGGTCAAAGCACTTAGTAACTCTGAGCCTCATCTAAACAGTGGGATTTGCAATATTATAAAAGGAGATAATTAGAAAGAAAGTACTTTCCAAACCTTCAGGAGAGGTCCCCTCAGTTCCTGTTGTAACCGAGGACTTTCTAAGGTACTTTATAGGAATTGTGGCCTCACTCATGCCTAGTTTCTCTCACAAGGGGTTACAAGACCATCATTTGTGATCAGACAGTTGTGGGGTCACCCCCTGACGCTTGGCCTGACCTTGGAGGGCTAAGCAGGGTAGCCACTCAGGAAGGGAAGTCACAGCTGAGAAATGAGCACCTGCTCTTTTTGGTGGATTTCAGCTGCCTGAAAGAACTTACTCCCCATCTCTTCAAAAGGAAACTCCTTTCAGAAGCAAAAGCAGCCAGACTGTCCCTCATAGTCTTGGGTTAGACCTCATGCCCAGAAGCCAAGTGGGGCCTGGACAGTTATTAGGCCCTTGAAAGGTCCCACCACTGACCCAGTGGGAAGTTTAGGATAGGGGCAAGGTGTCCTTGGAACTGACTAGAGGGCAGAGACCTCTCCTTAGATGCCAGCATCTCCTGAACCCTGAACCTGTAGTGGAATTTACTGTGGCTTTCTGAAGAAAAGGTGGGTCAGCAGGGTGTCGCTGCCGTCCTTTTGGATAAGGACTGGGCTCGTGAACACTCGGACTGCAGTAAATTTGAAAAACAAACGATAAGAAATCCCATCTGCCCTTTCTGCACCTCTCACCCTTTCTGGGTCAGGCAGCAAAGCTCCACCGTGCTGATGCCCAGGCATGTGCTAGGGTTTGGGGATGTTAGCAGGCAGTCATGGCAGCTGTCTAACATTCGAACAGGAAGGGGATTCTGGAGGTGCATCTGGTTGAACCCTTTGCCCGCAGATGCAACTCCACCAGAATATTTGTGTGGTTCCATAAATGGAAAATTCTCTTCATGCCCAGGCAATCTAAAGAGTATCCCAGACTCACGTAAGTCCAGGTTCTGGGTTAGGCACCTGTCTCAGACAGAGGTAGGCTCTGTGGAGAGAGAAGACAGGAGGTCGTCAGGGTGGAGGGGTGACGATGGGGAGGTGACCCAGGGAATTTTCTGAGTGTGGAGCACAGCTGTAAACAAAGTGAAAGACTTTTGGTTCAAACTATGGCTTCAGGTTCTGCAGCAAGCAGGTCTGTGGTTCCTCCCCGCAGGGGTCCCAGGGAAGAGCAACCTGTCTGAAGCCAGGTAAGGTGCTGCCATCTAGGTCTCAGCCTGAGCGGATGGGCCTTCTGACCTGCATGAACCTGCTAGTAGGTGGCAGTACAGGGCAACGAGGATGCTTCCACTGCCAAGGACATGGGCTCTATGGGCTCGAAAGGTTTGTCCTGGGTTTCTGTCATCAGCACCTGACTCTCCCCACCCTCACCCTCTCCTTAGGCTGCCACATCCCTGCCCCCTCTCTCCCTATCACCCAGGAGAGGAGCAGCATCCCTCTTGGGTCAGATGTTTGCCCCCAGAATCTGAAGGACGCCTTGGCTTTCTCTTGCCTGCTGCCCTGGACCCTCATTTTAGTGCAACAAATGACAAGTCTGACTACAGTGACCCTGGGGTCTAAGAGTCACACAGCAGCCAGTCAACATGGAGCTAAGGAGGAAGGTTCTGCTTCATGTGAACCCTGGGGCTCCATCAAATGTCCTGTTAACTCAAGGTCATTCTGGAAAGTCAAACAGGCCTTGTCATCCCAGAGTCACTGGGGAATAAATAGCACTGGGAAGCTTCTCTCTGAGGATGTACTGAGAGGCTCTGGGAGTCCTGGCTCCCAAACCTGGGGCAGGGGCATGGGCAGGGGCAAAATGGGGGGAATCTAGGAGGCAGGGGCCTCGCCCAGCCTGATGGCCCCAAAGAAGGTGGTGTGTTTGCTCATGTTGATGGAGATGTCGGCGTGCACCATCTTCACAGCGATCTTCTGCCGGGCTTTCAGAAGGCAGACACCCGCGGTGTAACAAGTGTTATAGTTGGTTTTGCCTGTCTCGATACTGCGGGTACACTGTAGGAAGGGCTTCTCATCCACGACCACCTCATAGCTGGCAAAGTCAGTGAAGTTGATGTAGTATACCTGGGTGGAGGCAACAAGAAGGGATTGGGGAAGAGAGGAAAGAGAGAGTGGGGCCCTCCCCTGCCGAAAAGAAGGGCCCTTCTCAGATAAGCTGTGCAAGCACCTCATGAAGGGGACAGTGCCATCTGAAGGTCTTGGTCCTCAGCCAATGGGAAAGGCCAGGTGAGGGCAGACTGCCCTGCCCTACAGGCCTCCTGGCTCCAGTGGCCCCCTTATAAACTTTGAGGCAAGACCAGGCCTTATTTACCTCTTTGCTTCCCTCTACTTCTCCCCTGCTACCCTCCTGGGCCCTGGCACGCTCTCCACCCATTAGGTACCAGCAAATAGAAACTAACTTCCGATTTCAAGCCCCAAGGACTATAGGTGGATAAATGTAGAAGTCCCTGATTCCCCAGAGAGGGTGCAGTAATCTTCAGCTCTTTAAGGGCTGCTCAGTCAACCCATGGCTCCCCACCCTCACAGCTGAATTTGTCTCTCAGATGCTCACACTGTTCCTGGGCCCTCTTGTCTCATGAGTGAGAAAACAGATCCAGGAACATGGGGAGTTATCTACCATAAATGAGATAAAGAATCTGGATGGGGGAGACCCAGGCCCCTACCTTTACTTTGTGGCCAGGAGGGAGTGCTAACATGTTCAATGGCCAGGTGGCAAGGGAACTTGGACAGCGTGTTGTTGTGCAAGGCCTGAGATCATGCTTGGTTCTCTCCTAGGCCCAGAAAATTACTTTTTCTATTTTTCACTGTCCTTATCCATCATATTCTACACACCAACAGGAGTTTTAGAAGAAATGGCCCATAGGACAATGGGATTACACCCAGCCCTTGGGGACTGGGACCTTCATCTGCCCTCCCCACCCCGCCCCCCCCCCAAATCACTTTATGAGATGTTGCTCCTTCCACAGACTCTTCAGGAGGGAGCAGTTATATTCAAATGCCACATAGTTTCTTGGGTCCTGTAGGGCCCCAGTGGGGCCAGGGTGCTTGGTGGGATTAGTCAATGCTTGTTAACCCATCTTCTCTGACCACTTTCCTGTGAGACCTGTGTGTGGGCTTGGTGCTTTTTCTGTCCATCTGCTTGCTGGCTGCCTGCTCCACAGAAGCACCAATCTCAGGTTTCATCTCCCTCAAGCTCTGGGGAGTCTCCCCAAATAAGGTAAACGATGGGTGGACTGAGATGGGCACTGGCAGATGGGCACTGGGAGTGGGCCCAGGGCAGAGTAAACACAGAGGGAAAAAAGGAGTGGGAGAATGCCAGCAGGCAGAGGCAAGAAAGCCAGAGAAACAGAGTGGTAGAGACACAGTAGGGGAAAGAGGAAGTAAAGACAGCCAGAAATCTCTCTGAGGTGGCAAGGAAGTCCCTGGAGCAATTCTGATTATAATGTCCAAGTTAGTGAAGTTGGAGGAAGGGGTTCTCAGCAGCCCTGGAACTGACTCTCAAAGAATATACTCAGGCAGTAAGGGTTTGGCAGTTAAGTCAAACAGCTCAGCAGGGAAACAGGGGCCTGAGGCCCTGCAGGATGGGATCAGATAGCTGGGTGTCTCTCTTTTCAATTTTTCTACCACAGCTGGCTGGGAAAAACAAAAACAAAAACAAAAACAAAAACAAAAACAAAAACAAAGCAGCACCTCCTTCCCTCTCTTCCTTTCTACTCGCTCCCAGGGTGGTGCCCCCACTCCCCTCACTCTCCAAAGCTGGACTTTAGCCATTGGCTGGTCTTGGCTGGCTCCACAGTGCCCCTGTGTGGCCTGCACCGGATCTGCATCCTGAATATAAGAAGAGTTAGGCCTAAGACCGTACTCACTTCTACCTGACTATAGATGAAGTAGGTGCCGTCCACCAGTACCTCCAGCTCCCCGCTTCGGGGATGTAGCTTAAACACCTTGGGATTCATGGTGATGCGAGACCAGTCATTGAGCACTCCACCTGAAAGATCTCAGTATGAGAGAAAGGCAGTCACTCAGTACATGTCAGAATAATCTGGGCAATAGAAATAAGAAACATCAAACAGTAAACAACCCCCAACCCAGCCCAATGCAACCTGGAGAGCCTCGAAGGCCGAGCTTTAAACAGCCTTTGGAAGAAGAGAAAGTGTTCTGTTTGTAAAGTGGCCGTCGGGGGCCTGCCTCAGGTCCCTGGGTGCCTGGCTATCTTCCTCCTTCCTTTCTTGACCTTTTTATCTGTAAGGGTTTTTAACCAACACCTTCTTGCTGGAACTGGAGGTGGAGGAATTCGAGGAGAGTGGGCACACTGTCCTATTTTCTTTGTTGTCTGGGGCCTGCACAGGCAAAATTCAGACACTGAGTGGCAGGCTAGTCCTTATTATTCTGCTTCATTTCTCCAGCCAGAGCTCTTATTTCCTAGGTTCATGGCTTTTTCTCTCTTCTCCTTAAGAAATTCCTTTTTATACTTCCTCCACATTCATTCCTTTCTGGAAAGTCTCCCTGGTCCCCAGAAAACAAGTCAAACAACTGTCCGTTTGGAGAACCTTAGGGATTGGGGAGAGTCAGCGGAGCTAGTGACCACCAGTAATATGGCCCCACAGGGAAGAGGGAGCTTTATTAAACTAAGGGATAGACCACCAAGCTGCACCAGAACCGGCCAGGGGGTTGGGTGAGGGTGTCTGGGAGCCCAGGCACCACTGGAAAAGCACCTGTCTCTCGGCTCCACCCTTGCTGGGGGGCGAGGGGCCGTCACACAACCTTGGTTGGACAGTGGGGGTCAGCATGGAGGGGTCAGGAGCTTCCTTTTCTATCTTTCAGCAAGAAAGCTGTTCCTTCCTGCTACAAGAGGAAGACTTCCAAGCCTATGGGGCTTTTCCTGTAAACCAGACATTCTTAACCTAAGAAATTATATTTTAAGCAGCCATCCTTGATTAGTCTGAGAAGACTGCCTCTCTGAGGATTAAAGAAACTGGCCTTCTGGGAAAGGTAGCCATCTTTCCTTGAGGGGGTTACATAGGCATAGATGGGACAGAATTTGGGACAGAAAGGCCTCGGCTCTGTTCCTTCAATAGCATGCTCTTCATGATGCCCTTTCACCCCTGAGCCCCTCCATTGTGTGTCTGGTAGAACTAAAGAACAACGCAGTTCTGGTAGAACTAAAGAACTACTGGGGATGGGCCCAGAAGGGTTGGAACCAGTCTAGTTTTGTGGTAGTAGGAGAAGTATTTGAAGCTTCTGGCATGGAATGAAGACTGAGGTCACCCATATCGACACCCAAATAAATATTTCCTGCCTGTCTCACTCCTCCCTGGACAGATGGTGATCAAGGCTCACCCAGAGCCCTGGGGCCCAAGGCAACCTGGTCCCAGTAGGCCACTTGGGTTTTGGGGCCATTCTGTTGCTACTTATTATTTCTGAGACTATGAAGTCAAGTGTCCAGGTGGCAGTTCAGGATGTAACGAAGCCTAATCATTAAGGAAGCTTTAGTACAATCAGTTCAGGACTGACTGGGCGCTTAGAAGCTGTTTCCATGTAGCAGGTTTCTTTAACCTTCACTTACTGTTTCTGCACTCATGGCCCTTCCCTTCCACTCAGAGCTCTGTAAGAATCTGGTATCTTGGCTAGTTTGGTGCTTCCCAGGCTCCTGGGGGTACATACATTTTAGGCTTTGCACACCCTGTGGACTGGACATTATTTCAAAGTGCTGTTCTTTAATGAATGTTCATGTCTCTTTGGGGAAGAAAATGAACCTAATCATTCAGCGGAGTGTACACACATATTACTGAAGTAGCATAATGCAGTGGCAAGAGTCAGACAAATGCAGTTTTGGATTCCAGCTCCTACATGCAACTGCCATCTTAGGCAGTTCAACTAACCTCTCTCTGAGCTTCAGTTTCTGTCTTTGTGAAAAGGAGCCAATACCTACCTCATAGGGTTGTGATGAGGATCAAATACAATAAAAGACAAAGAAAGCATGTTGAAAACTCTAAAGCACCATACAAATATTGGGCAATATGATTTCTTAGGGGATTATCCAATCTCTCTGGGCCTCTGTTGCCCCATCTTTTAAATGCAGGGGTTACATCCAATCAGTTTGCTTAACCTCATTAACTTGCTTCCTCCTTTTACAGACATTGGCATCTCACACTCCCTGGACAGTCTAACATGCTTCCCCCTTCCCTGAGAGAAAACCCCCCCCCCCCATCCATTTCCCACTCATTAGGCAAGAATTTTATGAAGTTTTACCTTCTCTTTTTTGTATTGTGAAAATGTTTATCAAATCACACATAACCTTGTGGTGACTCTGATATAACCTCCATCTCCCAAGAATCCCTGGTCTATATGATGTTTCAAGTCATTTTCGGTTTCCTTGTTAGTGATTCCAAACACAACTGGGTGTAATAGCAATGGGTCTTGGTGCAAACATTTACTCAGGACAGCCAGCAGAGGGCAAAATGGAGTCAAGAATGGCTCCCTAGTGCCAAGGTTACCTCAGGGGCCTGGGAAGAAAGAGGCTGGGTAATTACTTGATGGCTGGGGGTAAGAAGATAGCCTGCTTTGACTCTTACCATTCTTGACTTGAATCGCTGACCCTTGGCCCTGTAGATGCACCACAGCTGGCTGGGAGGACGAAAGACAGAGGAGTTACGGTGAGAAATGGTTTCTTGTTCCCATGTTTCCTTCTTCTCATTTTCCATGTTTCTACCTCTGACTTCTAGTCTCCTTTCATATCCCAATTCTGGTCACTCTCCTCTGTCTTGGGATGCTAGTGACAAGACTTCTACCAGAGGGTAATATGATTTTGTAGCTCTGCCACTTTCTAGCTCTGTGACCTCAGTCCAATGCAATGCTTCTCAGCCTCAGTTCCCTAATTGGGGAACTATAAGCATGGGGATTAGAAGAATCTCTGTCTGGTCTCTCTCACAGGGATACTTGAGGATCAAATGAGGTGATGGATATAAAACTGCCCTACAAGTCATCAAGCACTGTGCAGCTGTGTAGATTTATCACCGTGGCCAAACAGCTGTAGCGAGGGAGGCTGACATGAGACAAAGCAAGGCAGCAGAATTTGCCAATAGAGACACATTAGGAAGCTCTGAGACTAGAGAGGAGTCTTTTAGGCCATTAAGGCAGAAGCCCGGGCTGGGCTTGGCCTGGAGCTGGCTGGCTGATTTTCAAGGACATTCTCTTACACTTTGAAGCTGCTGAGCCCAGGCAGTCTGAGTGCCGACAAGGGGTCTAGAGTGGCTGGGGAGTCGGAGGCCCCAGGTGAATGGGCCTGACTGGCAGCTCACTTCAGCTGACTACTCAGTTTGGATATAGTAACCCTCTGTCTCCTGTGGCGTGAGGAAAGATGGCCACGGTAAGGCTCAGTTCTGTTAACTAAAGGCAGGCCCTGGGGCAAAGCTTTTCTGTTCACGGAGAGGGAAGGGGGTTTGTGAGTGCAGAAACCTCAGAACCTCCAGGTTATCCTCTCAAAAACAGAGCCTCAACAAATGTGATAGGGAGCAAACTCAAAGGTGGCTCTAGCCTGTAGCCTTCCCTTTTCCCCAGGAACAGCAATTCCCAGCCAACCTGGTTTTCTCGTGTTCCAGCTTTATCAGCAGCACCTGCAAAATAGGACAGGACAATCAGAGGTCATATCATTTCTACTTCCTTTTCTCCTCACCCAGGCAGCCAATGGCAGCAAGTCTTACTCCCTGCAGCCATGCTCTGTCTGATTTTTAGTCTCCATGGCTCAGAGCCCCACTGAGAGTCAATGAAGGGTTCTGGCATGGCAAAGGACACCCCTACTGCCTTCACCTCTTTCCCTGACCTGCACCTTCAGTGGGACCAACACTCACTGGGGAAAGTGGGCTCCAGTCAATGTTTGTCCCAGTCAAGTCCAACCGAGCACCCACAGAGACAGATGAGAGAGCTTCTTATCACCCCGAGACAATGGTGGTTACCTTTGCTCCCTTTGCTATTAATTTTTCTTCATAGAGCCATTGTCCTTTGTAAATATCTTGCTTCTTTAATGACTTCTCCCCTCTACTAGAACCTAAATTCCACGAGAACAGGGACAACTTATCAATATCAATATCTCTTGCACATACAAAGAGCTCAGTTAATATATGGGGAATGATTGTGGGGAAAAAAAAACCTGTCTTGTGGCCATAGTAACATTGATTGGCCCCATTGGAACTATGAGTTGGAAACAGGAGTCCTGTGACTGCTGCTGCCACGGATCATGACCAGGTTTGAGGGCAGGCCCTGGAGAGAGCCACCCCGTGGTATGTGCAGCCTGCAGGCCAGCTCCAAGCTGCAGTGGTGGCAGCCTGGGCTGTGCTGTGGCAGCCTCCTGGTCAGCCTGGGGGCTCCAAGAGCTGCGGCTGCAGCAATTGCCTGTCGAACCTCAGCTTAGGTTGGGTCTGGACAGCTGGCCAGGGTTTCACTTTTAAATATCATGTTGGAATTCCACTCCTAAGGATCTACCCAAAGGACACAAAAACATTGATTCAAAAGAACACATGTACCCTATGTTTACTGCAGCATTGTTAACAATAGGTAAAACCTGGAAACAACCCAAATGCCCATAAATAGATGACTGGATCAAGAAGAGGTGGTACATATACACCATGGAATATTACTCAGCATTCCAAAAAGATAAACTCATGCCATTTGCAGCAATGTGGATGGAGTTAGAAGGAATTATGCTCAGTGAAATAAGCCAGAAGGAAAAAGAAAAATATTGGATGGTTTCACTTATAACAGGAATATAGGGGAACCAAATTAAAAAAAAATAGAAAAAAAAATAGTAACAATACAAAACACCACAAAACAAAAACAGACAATTATAAATCAGAGACATCCTATAGGGGAGGGGGAGGGAAAGGATCAGAGGGATGAAGGGAGGAGCACAGGGGACTAATGTGATGGTGCACGGGTGCGCATTGGTGAAGGAAATTCTATGGGGGCTACACCTGAGGGGGCGGGGGAAGCAAATATTGTTTAAAAATGAACAACGATGTAAAAAATACATAAAAAAAGAAAAGAAAAGAAAAAGAAAAAAAAATATCATGCTGGAATTGTAAATGGACTAAACAGCTTCGAGCTCCTGTAGGTGCCATTCGAGGTTTTGGAGATCATTCAGGACTGTAACAGACCAATCCGATTTGAGCTTGACTGGCACTAACAGCTGGAATTGTAAATGGACCAATCAGGCTAGAAAGGTAGGGACCTTGAAGGGGACATAAGCCAAGGTTTTGGAGGACTCATCAGATAGCTTCCCACAGATTCATCAGGATTCAAACCTTTGCAGACAGACTCATTGGGGAGATTTGTTGGGACTCTGATCTCTGCTTCAAACTGAAGCTTGACCTCTGCTCCTGTGTCCAGTGTCTCTGAAAGAGCTGTGTGCTGTTGACTTATTCCAACAGCATCTCTGAGAGCTATAACACCGGCAACTGGTGCCTCTGGCACCACCACCAGCTGAGGAGCACTGCTGACCTGTGCCGAGCCATTTCTAAGAGCTGTTCACTGTCTCTGATCCTCTGGCACCTCCTGGTGCTCTTGCCGCCAGCGCTGTCCAGTCTGGCCTTCATATTGCTGCTGCTGGCTGCTGTGGTGCCATCTCACTCACGCCACCTGTGATCACCTCCAGCTCTCACCGTGAGTTGGATCCTGTCCTGCTGCTTTACAGCGTGCCACCAGCTCCAGGCTCTTGTCAAAGGGACAGTGCCATCTTATATGAGCAGCCTTTGGACTACTGGATGCTGTGGGCACAATCTGGAGCAGGACTCTTTGCCTTTTATGGCCTTAGAAACTCCCAATTTCTTTTTCTCTCTCTCCCCTTTCTAAATAAACATTATTATTGCATCCTGAGCCAGAGTGGCATCTTGCAATTGTGAGTGCATGGGTGAGAACCCACAAACAGGGAGCTGTCCCCTAAGACTTTGCACTGTTTTAAGTCAAAGAATCTGAGTCCTGCAGCAGATTTCTAGGACCTAGAGAAATCAGCTAGAAAGAGTTCATTACTCTAAAGCCCTGAGATACAAGAAAGTGGCAGGAGCAGGAATAACTGACTTAAGCCTAGGCAGTCTGACTTGTGTCAACTCCAAAATTTAGGGCAGACATGTATCTGTAGCCCTACTTTTTGGAAATCCTTCAGGGCCCAAGAGGGAAGATGCAAAGGGATTAAAAACCATTTGAATGGGCAATGTGGTGGGTTCAAGTGCAAGTAGCACTTGGTTTCTTGACAGGATGACCTTGGTGCCTGGGTTTACTTCTAAAGTGTGAGTCACTTGTAAGTTTCTGACTCTTGATGATCAGCGACTATTTGTCTAAGGGAAAGGCACTTCAGTGTTTACAGGATAAGACTCTTCTAGGGAATGTCATTTTGACTAGCCCCCATTATTCTTCCCCATAGCCTATTTCTAATGCAAAAACAGCAATGTGGGGCTAGATGCTGGGCATCAGAGAAAATCAAATACATCTCACAAAAGAACTTTGGTCAAACCTCAGGGCTCTGTTTCTGGCTTGTTAGAGTTTAATGGCCACTACAGGGAGGCCTTGAGTCAGGGAGAAAGACTTCTGATGGATGGGTTAAGAACAGGGCAAGGACAGGTGGCCTATTCTTGACAGGTTAGTTAAAACAAGATGTTAGAGTAGATCAGGCTCTACTGGCTTTTTAATCCCTAACTCTGCACTCATTTACGAGCCCTGTCCTGCCACCAAACCAAATGATGGCACACCACTGCCATCCCCGCTATTGGAAATTGCTCTCAGGATCACCCAATCCTGCTCTATTAAAGTACTTGTAGGACACCTGAGAGTGGAGAGACAGAGGAACTCACCAGAAGGTCCCTGGAGGCCAGGAGGTCCTTGAGGACCCGGAGGTCCTGGAGGACCAGGTGGTCCCATAACAGTTGTTCCTGGAATTCCAGGAATCCCAGGAATCCCTGGGGGCCCTTGGGGTCCTGGAGGTCCTGGAGGTCCTGGGGGACCATTGGGCCCAGGAGGTCCTGCTTTCTTTCCTGAAAAATAAGATTCAGTGTTATATTTGTAGTTATTGATAGAGAGTGTACTGTCACGATTTCACAGACTTATAGTGACACACTTTCACACTTCCAGTCAGCCCTTTGGGAGTTCCTGCTGTTAAAGAGGTAGGCAATATGGCGCTAGATGCTGGGCATCAAAGAAGATCAAATATATCTCAAAAAAGAACTTTGGTCATCTGTCTCTCTCTTTCTCTCTTTCTCTCTTGCACACACACACACACACACACACATACACACACGTGAGCATACACACACACTCCCTAGTCCCTTTCATGAATAATCATTTACAGAACTGGGTTTGAAGATCTAGAAATAAATGGCCCTCAAGGAGCTCAGTCTAGTGGGGAACCAGACAGAGTCACAGGATAGTTATTCTATATTAGCAGTAAAGGATACAATGCTGAAGAGGTCAGGGAAGCCTTCAAAAGGGAGGTTGCATTTGAACTGAGTGCAAAGGATCAAAATCACCAAGTGGCCAGACCTATGGGTCATTTTGTGGTTCTTTTCAGAATGGGCTATTGTTGAAGAATGCAACTTTCATGTTTACTGCCCAAATTGGTGGACTTGCTGTGAATGCAAAGGAGCTCAGAGGACAGCCTGACCTTAGGAACACCACCTGCTCAGGGAAGGCTTCCTAAAGGAGCCAGGATATACAGGAAATAGAGGTGGGAAGAAGGTGGTGCTAGTGGGGAATAAGGAATGGGAAGGTGTTTGGGAGAGGTGGAGGGGTGGGATGTGGAAGTAGGTGAGGCAAAAAGAGGAGGGGGAAATAAAGGTAGAGGAAGGGAGGGAGAGAGACACAAAAAGAGAAGAGAGAGGGGGGAAGGTAAAAGCAGAGATAGTTGAAGAGGAGGTAGGAGTCAGATTGTGCTTTCTTAGATGACCTCTCTCAACCCTATTTTAAAAGATCTCTGGGAAAGGAAATTCTGCACACTCCCTTGGTGACATGTTCCAATGTTTATCACCCCCTCATTGTTAGGAAGTTCTTCCCTATATTTGACTGAAATTCGTCCTGTGGTGCTTTAAACCCTTGCTCTATTCTCTTTGTAGATAGAGAATAGTCTCCATTATATACATAATAACCCTCATATACTGGAAGACACTGCCACCTATCAAACTTTACTGTTTGTTTATGGATCACATAATTCATCACTTACAGGTCTCAGAGATAGTATGTGTGCAATGAACAGGGGCAGGGCAGTCTTCTGTCCCATGTCCCAAGCAAGCAGGAAATAGAGTACAGCAACTTCCATTTTTATTTAAACATTCCAGCTTCCCAGAATCTTTCCTCAGAAGCCCTGTTCTTGAACACATTATTAATGAAGTCCACCGACTCCTCCCTGTCTCCTTCTCACTATCTCTCCAGGGCAGTCTCTTCACTCCTAGTCCATATTCCAGCCCTTCCAATAGTCCCACCAGGATGTAGTTATGTTGATTGTGTCACACTTGTGGCCTTCACCAACACCTCTGGCTCCTCCTGTTCACGTCCTCTGTTCTCTGTAGTTCAATTCCAGCCCTGCAGGTGGTCACAGCTGACTGTCCTTCTCCTCCCTTTACCATTTCCTTACAATGCTGTGGAAGTCCCAGGAGTGGGAGCCTTCCGCCTGACTCCATCAGGCTGTCTTTATGTGGGATAATTCCTTAGTTTTAAATACAACCCTCTCAAGTCTTACTCTAAACATTTTACTGATTCTGATTCTCTGTTTTCTAGATTCTTAGGTGGGGGAATCCTGTTCTGATTTGTTAGGTCCTTCATTAAGAGCAAAACCACATGTTCAAGAAACCCAATTGCCATGGTAACACTACTCAAGAGGTCAGGAGTGCAAGTCTAAACACATCTGCATTTGGAATGAAACAACGGGGTCTTTGTGGGGCCCCTTGCACAGGGAGGAAAAGGAAGGAAGAAAGGTCCAGAGAGCCACCCTCCAAGGCAGAGTCCCTGTGGCCTTAAAGACCTGGAGGCAAAAGCTTTGGCATTTTCCCTGTACTTAGCAGCAAAAGATTTGATCTGTTGTTTCTAGAGTTAGCCAATTTCAAGATACTGAACAGGAAAGTCATCTCCCTTCAGATTTGGGCAGCTTCCAAGTCAGGCTTATTCAGTGCTCAAGTTTCCATTCTAGCTAGTGTAGTGGAAAGAACACAGAATCTGTAATCAGGAGATAAGGCTGTAAGCCCCAGCTCTGCCATGGATGCACTTTGGGCAAATCCCTTCCTCTCCCTGAGCCTTAGTTTCTCCATCAGTGAAATGAGGAGGTTGGCCTCGATGATTTCTTTAAATTTCCTGTCCAGACTAATGTTCCATAAGGGAACGACTTAGCTCTGGTTGTCCAGGAACTTCTCTAGTCTAGTTGTAAGGCTTGCCTTTCTGTTATTGTTCTCTGGGTGCCACAGACAGAGGATGGTATGTACTGTCCTATACTCAACATTTGCAGGCCAAATAGTGGTTTTTGAGCCAGAAGGTGTTCTGTGGCTAACACAAACTTCAGTGTCAAGACTGTGAGTCTCCTGTGATTGCTAAAGCAATTTTGGAAGAATTAGAGCCAGAAACTTCCCCAGTCAAAGAGAATAATTGTTGTAGTATAAAAACAGAGAATGTTCACTTGTGAAAATATTAGAAGGCATTTGGGAAAAAGCTCCTGCTGTGATTTAGCTATGTAAAAGGGCAGCTGGCCCTTTTACTCCTCTGCAACTAGGTTTAGTCCTATGTGCTCCTTATACTTGCCTGCTTACAGAAAGTTGGCCCAGAGAGATGCTGTACAAGATGAACCATGAACCAAGAGAATGACTTTATGGGACTGAATTCCGTCTCCAGATTTCCTCACTTTAACAGAGCGCTTCATAATACGGAAGCCCAGAGACATTTGGGCTTAGAAAGTTATCATGTATAGGTCTTGGATGAAAGAATATATGCATTTTTGTTTGAAGCCAAAACTCACAAAAGGGGCATTTCCAGAATATTTTAGCTAAAGCCATATTTTTGAGGGAACAACTACAATAGAGAAAGATATATATATATATATATATGTGAGAGAGAAATAGAAAAATAGAAAGAGAAAGAGAGAATGGGCAAATGCTTATTTGGGTGGGTGAGTTATAGGAGGGGGAAAATTCCATTAAAGGATGGAAATTTAATGAACAACTCATTTTACCTCTACAAGAATATGCCTATTCACTGTGTCCAAGAAAATCTATATTAAATGGCTTCAAAACTACTTTCAGCTAAAGTAGGTATTTAAGGCCTATGTGCATTCTCTTCCCAATAATGGACTGCATATAAGGTAGTCGTGCAAGGGAAGTGATCTGAGTCCCTGCTAGAGGTGCTGGATTCTCTGAGTTGTAATTCTAGCACTTCTAGCCTAGACAATTGCCTTCCACTGCCCCTAGGAGAATGTTCTCTCAGTGCTTATCCACTGGATAACACTGCAACTGGGTGTTGCTCCCTACCACACACATGCCCATATCTGGTAAGTCACTCCCTGTTGCCCCTAACATGCCATGTTCTTTCATGCCTTTGTGAGATAGGAGTGTGCTACTCCCTTTGCCAGATTGTCCTTCACCCTCTCTTTTCTCATCCTTCAAATTCCAGGTCAAATACTTCTGTCTCTGTGATGTGCTCCCTCACTTCTCTAGAGAGAAATACTTGTTCCTTCTTTGGGCTCACACAGTGCCCTGTTCATGCTTCTGCCATAGTATTGTTTTATGGTGCCCTGTAATTACTTGGTGCACTTCCACAATTTCAGCTCTGCTGGGAGATTGTTGAGGACAGGAACCATTTTTCTCCATATCTGGATCTCTGCTCTTGACAGCTATGAGACGGTAATTCACTGCCTGGTGAATGAGTGAATGGGGAAAGAAACAAGTAGCTGTAACCAGAGGTCATCCCTGGACTTGTGTCAGAGGCAGACGGCGGTATCCTCATCTAAGTCAGGTGAGTGTCCCAGGCTTGTCATGATTTCTTCTAAAGGGATATGCCAAGAGTTAAAAACTACATGCTTGAAGTCAAATTCACTTTCTTAGTAGACAGGGTATCTTGGTGAATGCCCAGGCCCCGAGGAGAAAGCTTTCCTTACTGACTCCAGCTCTGGCTATTTTCTAACTTTTCTCAGCTCAGGTCTTCAGGAGGTCAGGCTATCCCTCAGAGAATGTGTCAGGGACACAGGTTTCCCAAATGGATCATGGTAGCTCAAGGCAGAGTATCCTAGTGCTCAGAGAAATGATAGGCAGTGGCGAGAGCCAGTCTTTGGCCTAGTGTGGGGTTAATAATCTACTCCACAAGGCTCTAGAAATCTTAATAGGTAGATTAATTTAACTTAAAGCATTTACATTAAAAAATCATTAATTTCACTTTATTCCCCTCCCAGGTCAGAACACAGAAACAGAACATAGTCACTTAAACTGGTTCTGTAGTTTGTTCTTTGAGAACATATTTCCTGATACTATTTTTCAGAACCTATTCTGTCTTTGTGTTCTCCTCTTCAAGTAAGCAAGCACTTGTACAAGCCCTTGGGTCATGACAAGTACACTGGGGACTTTCTGACCCAACAAAGGTACAATGGAACCACTCAACTAGAATTTTCTTTGAAAAGACTAAAAGAAAAGAGTAATACTCCAGCCGAGTTTTTTCACCACAGAGAAAATGGTATTGAAACTCCAAGGCAAGAAATATGTTCCCTATGTGAGAACTAGGACAGGAACAGCTCTTACACCAATAAATAGGGTACTGACATTTCTCAGGTGGTAGTATACCAAACGAGCCCCTGCAAATAGTCTCAGGACTTCAGTCATACTTGAGCACTAATTTGATAAAGGAGATTTTAAAAAGGAGAAGAGAGAATAGGGGAAAGAGCGAGGAAGGATGAAGGAAAGAAACATAAATTGAATTGTATGGAAGAGGGAACAAGAGAGAAAAACAAAAAAAACTTTCATATGTTGCTAGAGAAACAATTTTATCTTTCATGGATCATCACCAAAGAACAATTTCTATTTCTTTTCCTATGGAAGCTACAATGCTCAAGAATATAATGTGTGATTGAATAAAATAATAACTGGATAACCAGTATTGAACAATATAAAAATCCCTTGCCCTTGATTCGTTTTTCTTTTAATTTTAGAAAAGACGTGACAGTGACTTTATAAAATCAGGAGCTTAACTTACCCTTTTTCTTGTTTTTAACTGGACCTGTTGAAAAAAACAAAAGAGAAAATTAAGTCACTGGAAATTGATGGAAAGTATTTATTTTCCGAGACAGTCACAGGAAGGACCCCCAAGACACTGCACAGTTGAGGGAGCCCCACACCAAGGGTCAGGTTATTGGCAAGGTATCTCCCCATTATCAAACCTCCCCAGTTTGTTTCTGTTTTCTAACTGTTGTAAAAAAGATATAAGGAAGAGTCTTCCCTAAGGAGAAAAATCTTTCAGGCTCAGTTCTTTGGAGTGAGGGAATGGGTACTTCTGTATAAAGATGAAATGCTCCCAAACGCAGAACTCAACAACCTTAGGACGGCATCCCATTAATTCTGCGTGTCCTGAGATTGAAGAGTCATGAGTTCAGGTGAGGAACTGATGTGAGGCATCATGCGTTGAAGCTGGAAGGAAAAAAGGGTCATTGTCATGGAAGAAGCAGAGCAGTGGCAGTTCAGTTTTTAGTCACTTTCCTTATCATGAATTAAACTGTTACTTATTAAAACAGTGCAACTCTAATTCATCTGTGTGGGGGGCACGTGCACTCCCATTGTAATTTTCTGTGTTAACGATACTTTGAAAGAAATGTAGACAGTTTCAATAGCGAAATTATGAGAATTTTCTTGTGAATTACTTCCAATGGAAATATTGTTAATCTATTGGGGCACTTAGAAAATCCAAGTTTCTCTCATATAGTTAGGTGATAACCACTCCCCAGACACACACAGTTTAGGTGTCTTCTTCTTGGGGACTCCGCTTTCTTTATTCTATAGGCAGACTTGACTTTATTTAAATACAGGTATTTAAAATTTGTTCCAAAATCCCATGCAGATACCATTGGACAACATTAAACCACTGTCAGTGCCCTCAGGAGCTTACAAAAGGAACATCAAGTGTTTGCATATTATTTTATTTTATAAAAAAACCTACCGCTATCTATCATTTGACTTCATCCTTGCAACAATGATATCTAAAAGAGCAGGCTCTATCAGAGGCTCTATCTCAGCTGGCACAATCAAAGTTAATCAAGTCTTTAATCTGGAGGGTTGCCAGTGTGGCCGTCAAAGCTCAAACGTCCCTGGAAAAACCAATGCCTGTATAGACTTCCCGGGCAAAGTAGTTTCATGTGCAACAGTAGGTATTATTATAGGCAGGGGATGTCTTTAGGTTGGCTTCAGCAACCTACTACCCTTTAAGGTCATGACTCTCCATTTGCTTAGCCTCTTTTTTTCCTCCCTTTCCTCTCCTCCTAGTCTTCTGTCTACTTTCCTTCCTACCTATCCATTATGTTTTTAAAAACATGGAGGTTCTGGCAGAAAAGTACAACCAGGAAGCACAGAAACTACTGACTAAGTGGCAGCAACTCAACTTGAGAAGGGTCACCTCCTTCAACATGAGTTTTGGGGAAGGATTTATACAAAAAAGCCCAGCTACCAGTCAGCTACCTCAGCCCGTCAGCTACCTCAGCCTGGGAAAGCATCAGGATAATGGCTATTGAAGCCATATTGCTCTTTCGACAAATTGGCTTTTTAGACAAATAACCCTAAGTTTCTGATCATTTCCGCTGGTTAAAGGTTTAGCACTGCTACATCAAACTTCAACGTAGTCTTTGAGGAAATCAGACTACCAACAAACTACTGGTCCTTACTGAGCATGCCTGTGGAAGGTAAGCATAACAAATAATGAAATACAATCTATTCTCAAAGAATATTTGGATAGGAAAATACTAAAGAGGGGAAAGGTAAGGAATTATAACTAAAAAATAAATGCACACACCAAAATTCCTGGAGGAAATATGACCTAAATCCATAAGTAAAAAGAGGGAAAGAGAAGTTCAAATGTGTTTTAACTTCTATTATTTTTATACCAGAAATACTCATTACACAGACATAAATATATATGGGTATACATATATACATAAAAAGGGGGAGCAGAAAGGAGACAATAGCTTATAATAACAATGTACAAATAACCATTAACATTTTATTCCTATCTAGAATTTTCATATCTAAATATGTATTTTAATAAGATCAAATAAAAATGTATGACAACTTTTTTTCTATGTCAATAACTACATTTCTATATTGTCATTTTAAAATATGGATATACCAGAATTATATAGATAACTGCTTATATTTTTTCTAGTTCTTTTTAGGATTCTGTTTTTTAGATTTAGATCTTTAATTAATCTAAATAGATTAATTAGATTTGGGTATACACTACTAAGTATGCAGCTAATTAAATTAAAAAAAAATCCTAAATGACCATGAATGTGAAGAGTGCTGAGAGCAAGAAGCGCTCAACGTAAGTCCTTTCTTCCACTTCATTTTGTGTCACAGAAAAGCTCTCAGAGAAGTTCTACTTAGTATCATCCCTTGAGAAAAAATAAGGCTGTAAAAAGTATAGCTAAGATTGTGATTAGATTGTATTACATTACCCACAAATGCTAATCAGTGCATCATCTCAGCAGTATAAGAGTTCCTTCTTGTTCTGATATGCCTCACTTTGGCTAGTGAATAATTCTTATGAGTTTCAACATGAAGCTCTAAGCATTGACTCTGTATCTGGCATATCTATTTCTTTCTAGAGGCCTTTGTAGTTTTCCAGCTTCTAGAGAGAAAATGCCAAGGAAATAGAGCTGTTCTGTACTAGATCTGAGCATGTTGACTTAGAGCGAGAAAAGTAACCTCTCTTGAGTTCTAGAACCTTTTAGATATATTAACTTATTTTTCTCTATTTGTTCCTGAATCTTTTTCATACCTACTCAGAACACTTCCACTGTCACATGTCTATTTCTATGGTAACAAGCTGCATTTCTCTATCATTCCAATTCTCTTTATTTGTAATGGTTATGCTTTCTGCAGGAAAACCCTACAAATGCATTGGATTGGGCCAGACAGCTGGGCAGTCCCTGGGACTGTTTCGACAGGAGTAAACTTGATATCTGATAGATTTTAATCAATATGGGCAGGCAATTCACTGTCTGACACTACAAAAAGGGGGTCATTAAAAAAAAGGGTCTAGCCAGATTCTAGTGCTGACTCAACCACAAACTGACCACAAAGCAAGTGATAGTTTTTTAATGATTCTTTATCTGCTAAATTAGGGAATACTACATACTTTATCTGCTAAATTAGGGAACACTATATACTTGTCTCTATTTAAAGTCTTGGGTTCTGATGAGGATAAATGACATAGTAACTAAAGATAACTGATATGAGTGTGTGTATACACAGACATATAAGTTGAATATAGATGTGCCATTTAGATCTTACAAAGTAGATATTAGTGTGTTTATTTTATAAATATAGGTTCAATATATTGTACAAGGTCATGTAGCCCATAGGTGTTTCGGATGAGGCTGAAACTTCAAAAAGATAAATACATGTTTTATTAGAGGTATTTTTAAAATTTAGAAATAAATGTACTTCTAGTTTCTGGTTTGACATGTCAGGAGCCTGGAAATCATCACTCCCATACTCACAGCAAGGAAGAGGCTAACAACTTAAAATTAACAGTTCTTAAGTCCATCCATAGAATTAGGGTCACAAGGCAAACTTGCTGTTTTAAAAGAGGAAGAGACAGACAGGTGGACACAGAGAATCACAGCTTACCAGAAGTAGAGGCCTGTAGCTAAAGCCAGTATCAGTAAGAGCACTTAAAATTTATAATTGACAGATTGCCAGAGGTTTAGTATGGACTAGTGTACAAGCTAAAATATTTAAGGCATCCAGTCTTACCCCTTTAATGAATTTCATCTTCATGAGCCCTATTAGATTCTCACTGTGAAGACTGGAGAAAAATTCCCCTGCGGTAAGCAGAAAATATCCACTTTGAAATATACTCAGACCTTTCTATTGTCCTTAACAAGGAAAACAATTTTATCAGATCCTAACTGGGTTTTTTCCAGAGCCTAATTGACCTGGAGGAGAGGAAATAACCAACTCAGGGACACCTAAAGATCAAGATCTAATCGTAGGACTATAGAACTTGTCCCCTTTCCTCATACTTTATTTCCATATCAACAGGTCTTTCCTGTTTAATAATGATGGGATTACAGCTAAGAGAGCTGGAAATTTCAGAGCCTACAAAAGGAATCTCTAGGGCCACCCAAAAACAACAAAAGGAGACTAAATCAAGAACAACAGAGGAAATTGTAGCCTCTGACACCACAGCTAAGCAAACAGTAAACACAGATTAACTCTTCATCAGATAAACAGAAAACCTTCCAACTAGAGGCCCATCTGCCTCAGTTAGTTAAACCCATTACAGCATGTCCAATTTTCAGCCAAACATTGCAAGGCATACTAAAAGGTTAAAAATATAGTCTGAAGAGACAATCCAAGCATCAGAAGCAGACTTGTGACAGAGATTTTGGAATTTTCAGAGCTGTAATTTAAAGTAACTAATGATTAATATGCTAAGGGTCCTAATAGAAAAATTGGACAGCATAGAAGAAAAGATGGGTAATATAGGCAAAAAGAAGAAAACTCTAAAAAAGAATAAAAAGGAAATGTTAACCCACATAAATATAGTCAACTGATCTTTGACAAGGAGCAAAAGTAATCCAATGGAACAAAAAGAGTTGTTTCAGCAAATAGTGCTAGAACAACTGAACATCCACATGCAAATAAAATTAATCTAGACACAGACCTTATGCTAATTACAAAAGTTAACTTAAAATGGGCCTCCCCTGGTGGCACAGGTGGTTGCACTGTGAAGCTGTCCACAGACCTCTCCTGCTGTGCCCACTGCTCCCCTCAGCAGTGTATTTCAGTCATCTGCCTTTCCTGTTCCCCGCTCTATCTCTGGTGAATCCTCTCACCATCCCATGCATCTGGCCTGTACCCCGGTTCTTGTCTAAATAAATAAAATAAATCTTGTATAAATAAATAAATAAATCTTTTAAAAAAACGTTTTTAAAAAAAGTTAACTTAAAATGGATCACAGACCTAAATGCAAAGTGCAAAACTAAAAGATCCTATAACTCATATAGA